GGGTTTAGGGTTTAGGGTTTAGGGTTTAGGGTTTAGGGTTTAGGGTTTACTGTCTCTATTAGCTCGTAAACGTTTTCGATGAGTCTGTAGGGGCGGCCAGTACCCTCGATAGCTATACTCATCTTTGCTGCTGCTGCTGCTGTTGCTGCTGCTACTGTTGCTGCTGCTGCTGCTGCTGTTGCTGCTGCTACTGTTGCTGCTGCTGCTGCTGCTGCTGCTGCTGCTGCTGCTGGTGCAGGCCAGCTGGCTGGGTTTGCTGCTGCCGCCAGAGAGGCTCCCCCCTCTCTACTCTTTCGATACAAACGCAATAAACTATCACCTGCTGCCTCTCTCTCTCTTACATAAGTTTAAGGGGGCCCCCCAGGGGCCCCCCGCAGCTGAGGCCCCTCTGCCGCAGACCCCACCGCCAGAGAGGGTTCGGGGGCCCCCTGCTGCTGCAGCAGATAAAAAAAAAAAAGGAAAAAAAGGAGCGAAGAAAAAAAAAGCAAAAAAAAAAAAAGGAGCAAAGGGGGCCCCCAAGGGGGGCCCCCATCAGGGGCCCCCCCCTAGCAGCCTCCTCCCGACCATAGAAAACTACTGGGGGCCCCCCCCATGGGGGCCCCCGCAAGAGGGTACCCCTCTGGGGGCCCCCCCGGCAGCTGGGGGCCCCCCAGAGGGTTGCGGGGGCCCCCATGAGGGGGCCCCTGAGGGGGCCCCCATGGGGGCCCCCGAGGAGGAAGCAGCAGAGGGTTTGGGTTTGGGGTGTATAGACAGCCTGCAGTGTATTGATGGGGGGGGGGCCCCCTGGCTGACTGATGTGCAGATGGGGGCCCTCATAAGAAGGGTTTGGGGGCCCCTCAGGTGTCTATCCTTAAACAAAAATAATGTAGGGAGAGAAACGGCGAGGGCGCTAGCTTGCTGCATAAAGTAAACCCTAAACCCTAAACCCTAAACCCTAAACCCTAGATTTGTAAACCCTAAACCTTAGAATACTCATAGTAGAGATTGAGAGAGGAGATAGAATTAATGACGAAATTGGCTTGCTGCTGCTGCTGCTGCTGCTGCTGCTGCTGCTGCTGCTGCTGCTGCTTGTGTTGTTGTTGCTGCTGCTTCTCCTGTTGCTGTCGTTTTTCCTGAGCTTGCTCATCCTCTTGCTGTTGCTGCTTGT